AAAATTATTAAATTTAGTGCATTAATTATTTTAACTGTAATTTATTAATTTAAATATCTAAAATGTTATAATTACTACAATGAATTCTTGAAGTTTGTCTAGACTGTTTAATTTTGAATAGCAGTTGAACAATAATGTTGTATGATCTTTAGTGGCATTACCTGATTTATGTAATGCATGCAAATATGTGGTTAAACTGTCTATATATTGAGAATCTAGAAACTTAAAATTTATAATACATTAATATTCAGTTTTAATCTTTGCATAATTAATTTAATAAATTATTTACTTTTTTTATAACATAAGATGGTTCAAGCTTTCCAATTGTTTTAATATATTGTTCTACAGCACCACTGTGATCCCCTTTAGTATATAAATGATCACCATATTGACGAAATATATCAATTAGAGCTTGAGAATCATATTGCTGACATTTAGCCATGCGTACCGCAACATCATACAAGTTTTTCTTAAATAATACAGTCAATTTTGATTGTAAATCTTTTTCTATTAATTGTGATAAACTTCCTTTGGTTGTTAAAATATATAATGACCCCCACTCTGGTAAAACTGATAAAATGTCTTGCATGGTAGTTGTATAAATTATAAATTTATTTTGGATATCCAATACAGTGATCGAAATAGACTCAATCTCATCACTGAAAAATAATTTAAAGTAACAGTAAGTCACATATATGGTAAACTGGAAAGAAATAATTTCTCATTAGTTACTTAAGTAAACATTTTGATTTTATTTTTTTTTTTTAATTGAATTTTAAAAAGCAAAAATAATGATACAAAAAAAAAAAAAAAATTGATAAAACTATAAGTACTAAAGTAGTTAAAACTATAGGCTTAGAGCCTTGATTTCTAAATCAATATTGAATATATTATATTAAAACATTTTTTTTTATAAAACTAGCATCATATTATACTATATCTAATGGCCATATACCATGTGATAATAAATACTATAGGTTTTTTTTATTGTCTATATCATAATATATAAGTGTTAAAAATAGTTCAAGTAACCTTGGAATTTAAAGTATGACTAGTATTGTTCCCTCTACCTGTTCTGATTTCCAAGCTAGAGGTCCTATGAAGTTCTTGATTAAGACTATCCTCTTTTAAAAATGCAAATAATTTACTAGGAGAAGGAAGGTATATCTATGCTAAATAACTTGTAATTCAACTAATAGGGAAAAAGTTTAAAGTATAACAAGTAGTTGTTCTCTGCAGAGAGTAGAAGAGGCCTATCGGTTCTAAATAAATGGAAAATATGCTGGGTAACTAAAGTATATTTATACAACTATAAATCAAGATGCTGTTAAATAAATCTTACGAATGTTTTGTTGTAGTAGAGACAGTAATAGCATTCAAAGGTTTTCCTCTTTCTTTAGATACTATAATTAAATAATTTCGAAACCATTGAAGAATAATTTTTTGACCTCCAACCACATAGCATGGTCCACGACTGTCAATTGTATAGCAATATATGGCCTAAAACAAAATTAACAAAAAGTATAACCTAGAATTATTTTAAAAGGATATGTCATGTAACAATAAGTCGCATAGCAAGATCTTTGAAAAGTATTATTTATTAGTAAAGACCGGATTTTGAATAAAATGTTTTTAGCTTTTTTCTACATCATAAACATGAAGTCCATAAGTTTTCATGAATTACTTGATTAACAAAATTGCTAAATAGAAAATTTTATACTGCATATTTCAAGAGCTATATAATAATGTCATATATGGGTATAAAATTGTATTTAATTGTTAACAATTAAAAAATATACATTTAATTTGAACTATAATATTTTAATTGCATAGATTATAGATGAATCATATTATACAACCTATACATTTTATTGTTCATTGATGTCTTAGATTATAAATATATTTATATCAAGTACTTACACTGCTTATATATAATTTTTATTTTATTTAATGAGACAAATTTATTTTAAGTATACGCTAATAAAAAATTTTTATCCTTCAAATTTAATATTATATATTTTGTATTTATTCTTGAATATTTTTACTTATATAAGAGTATATTAAATAATTATTAGTGTATAAAAATCCGGTCTTTAATTTTAGTTACAAAGAAATTTTAATGTGTATTTCAGAGGCTTACATCTTCTTTTGCAATCATAAAATGACTATCAGGTCCATTGACTAATACAGAACACTTGAAATCACATCCTACTGCATCCAAAACGGTCTAAAACAAAGCATTTTAAAGTTTTAAACATCTTAAATATTATGAGAGTAATAATTACTAATAAATATACCATAGGACAAGAATCTTTAGAAGTAACATTAAATTGTTGTACAGATGAGACAGTAGACACAAAAAGATACCATTGATCTTTGCTAACACATTTGAAAGCCATCCCGGTTATTTCTTGACCCAACTCTTTTAACATCTTGGGTTTAGAATTCCGATCTCTGGACAAATCTCCTTTGAATAATGCTATACAACCATCTACAAATCCAATGGCCATTAACAAACGATTGTCAGTTGCACACAAAGTAGTAGGTTTTTCAGATTTTGATAGTTTTGTTGATCGTATACATATTGGAGTACTTTGACGATCTCTTCGTTCTAAATCCCAAACTTTGAGGATAGCATTGGTATTTGGTTCATCTTGCTAAATTTAAAAGTTTAGGTATATATAAATATTAAAATGAATAAATATAACAAATACTCACACCAATCGTAACTAAAATACTACTATATTGTAGTTGTGTAGAAAGAAGCACAACAGACTGATATGCTCGAAATGTAGTCACTTGAAATGTACGTGTAATTAAATGCACTAGACCATCATCATCACATGTGACTAAATGACCATGCCCACTACTTGTAGAAGTTATTTTAGAGCTCTAAATATATACAACTAAGTATTAGACATTTAATACATTAAAATTTTAAAAAGGAATGTTCATAATTTGTGTAATATTCTGAATAATTATAAAAAACAAAAAAATTCAAATTTTCAAATTTAAATTCAGAGTGGAACAAGAAATTTTATTGATAAAGCAATTGGGTGTTTTATTTTTGTTGTCACTTTATACTTTTTAATTAAAAAAATTATATATAACCATTGTAATCTAATTAACAGATTTGAAATTGGATTTTTTAATATAACATACAATAGAGTTGAAAGGTAACTGCTTATTTTTCTTAAATGTTTAAGATATTTTTTAATCTTCTTGAAAAACATTAAAATAATAAAAAAATATTTAAATAAAAACAATTTTAACTCAACCTTAGCTGATTTGACTACAGTTAGATAAATGAACTTCATATAAAATAATTTCATTAAATTGATATGATAATTTTATTTTGATTTTAGATTAATTATAGACATAATAAAATTCTATTATGTTTATAACATTAATGTTTTAAATGATTTAAAATATACTTTTACAAATAGTTAACCAAAATCAGTATTATTAAGTGTTATTATAAATAAAAATAAAAATAAAAAAAATTTAATATTATAATTCATAAATTTTTAAATTTTATTTGAATGTATTATTTATGGCATCACAAAAATTGTAGTTCAAAAATATAAAACCATTATCTCATAAAATTTGGCTAAAAAACATAATTTAAAATTGATAAAACTACATACACCAATTGTTTGAGATATTTTTTTTGAATCTGCATTGTGAATAATATCGAAAAAATTAAATTTTCGCCACTGAAACATAACAAACAATTAAATAGGTAAATAAATTGTTTAAAATGGCAATATTATAGTTCTAAATGTATAATGTATTTCGGGATATATTTTATAGTCAAATAAGAAGTATCTGTCACAACAATCAAATTCAAAACAAAAAATTTAAACTTACTTCTAAAAAAGACATAATTGTTTTTTAATAGAACATCAGAAAAAACAGACGATGACAAAATTAAACTTGGGAGTCGAGAAGACTTAGTAAAATTGTTGATAAGAATATCAGAATTGTTATAACAATTAAAATAATTAACTTGGTTAATTCAAGTCAAAACTAAACGAATGATCGGAATGAAGATCGCCCATTATAATTAAATTCCATGGGTGGAGGATTCAGGATACTATAACTTATAAGGCTAAGGCAGTAAGGCTTATCAGTTTATCACCGTGAATTTGATTGTCACTTACTATAGTGTTATCACAGAATATAAAAATGTGTTATTTGTTAATTGTCTAAAAGTATCATTTGATAACGTTATCACTTATCGTAATTAGAGGGTGCCAGAGAGTTATTTTATGATGGGCGGTAGCAACGGTAAAAATTGCGGTTGCTATATGCGACCATAACCGTGGTGGGTTGAAATAGCGTATAATCACTTAAACAGTGACCAGTAACCGCAAGCCAAGTTGACTTTTGAATTTTTGAAAAAAAAGCCCACTTTGAACGCGCTTGCCTTATAAGTTATTAGAGAGCGTCGACAGTTATCATAAATCGTGGATCCCGTAACTGTTTATGTGTGTCCGAATTATGCTGTTTTACTTTTAACTGAGAACTTGACTTTCGTCGCAAATAAATATTTCGGTGTTAATGACCAGTGATCTTATAGACGGAGAATCGGGCGCCCATTTTCGCGTATTGTTGTTGTTATCGAATATGCCTACGTATCGGACGAACCCGATTGGTCGGTGGTAAAAATTTTTTAAAAATCAAATATGGTGTTACAACGCTCCAAAAACGCGCACTTTTTTACAATTGATGTCTGCCGAATACGGCCTCTACGTTCACCGCGATCGGTTGTAGGGTGTCCTCAAGCGACTTCCACTCACTGCTGACCACCGGACAGTATTTACTGGGCCGGGGCGTGACCAACGACGAGGACCAAATCCGTTCCCGACAAGCGATCATAGAAGCTCTAGTGAAACGCTAGCGACTAGCAAAGGATCTTACGGGACACGACTTCAAGTCGCGGTGGTGATCGACCAAACTTTCGTTGTTCATTTGGTTCTTCTAATTACAATTCGACCATGTCTAACGCAGGTAACTACTAACTATGAGAAACTGACGACAACAATTATCAGGCACCTATATGGTTTACTCTCCTCTGGATTATTATTTTCATTTTAGTTTTTTGGTCCCTTTGTTAAGTTTTTAAGTTTAACGTTTAGATCGTTTTATTTAAAATTTAACTAATTAATTAAAATAAACTTAGAAATTTTATTTGTTTTTTTTTTTTATCATGGTTTGATAAAGTAATTCAATTATATTGACTTTGTTGTATAGTTTTAAATCTTATTTAAGAAATAACTAGTAAACTTGTATAATTTTATCATAAAACATTATTTGCTAAAGGTAAAATTATCCATTGACAGTGTATGAAATTTAAATAATAATACATCATGTAATGGATGTTGATATTTTTAAAATTATCAGTGTAACAATACATTTATACATAGCCAACAAAAACAATGATAATGGTTTTATTAGTAAAAACTAGATTCTACCAATTTAAAAAGTTGGTTTTTATGATTCTGTTCATATACTTATTCTCATGTTAGATATTTTGATTAATATCTATTAAACCTAATCACTGTATTTTCAGTGTACATACAATTTATGCATTGTAACAAAAACAATTTAAAAATCCATTAACTGAATAACTAATCAGTAGAGTATATTATTATCTTTATACATTTTAAATTGTTATAGTTTTAACTTTGTCAAATGTGTCTAACTATCAGATTTTGTATATAAATTCAAAAATTTTTTTTTATTCTAATTTTGAATTATTATGACCTTAAAATTATTCATATTTCCCTTTTTAGAATCCAGAGGTCATTCACCTCAGTCAATCAGTAATAATAAATATGAATATACACAATTAATAATAAAATGTATACATTTAAAAAAACTAAATATATCAATTGGCTAAATTAATATTTAATGAATTATTGTAAAAATAATGGTTTAAGCTTACATAAATAATTAAATTATATAAGCTGTTTTCTTTTTTTACTTTAGATTTTGATAGTCAAGACTTGAGTGGTCCAAGTGTATTGGATGGTGATTACTTAACTATGTTAAGTTCTTCGGATAAGTTAATGTCAGGCGAATTTGAAGCTCTTGAGCGACTACAAGCTGAACTAGATTTATTTGATGATCCAAATAGGACTGAAGAAGTTGTGGAACAAATGGCTGTAGAAAACCATCTAGATTTAATTGAAGAAGAAGTTTGTAGTGATGCAGGTGATGTGTCAAGAATTAAAAATGAAATAGAATCAGAAAGTGAACTTATTGAAGATTCTGTTCAACCTCAGTTGACTGAAACACAAATTAAGTTAGAAACTATAGATTTAGATCAAGATGAAATAATATCAATAAAACAATCTCAATCACATTCTCAGTCTGAAATGCTATCTGTTAGTAGTTCAAACGCCATAAAAAGAAGTGCACCACAAACTGGGCATGGAAGTCAACAATCAAAAAAACCTGTATGATAGAACTTGAATAAAATAATTTAAAGAGACATTATCATGATTATTATTTTATTTTTGTTTTTAGTTACTCACAAAAGTAATGGTTAATACATTACCAAGTACAAGTACCGGAAGAAATACTCAGCAAATTTTATTAAACGTTCCAATTGGACAACGTCCACAATTAGGTTCAACTAGAACTATAACACTTACACAAGCTCGTCAAATGGGTTTACTTGCTACAAGTTGTCGACTCCAACCTGTAACTTCAAATCCGAACATGACACAAAATAAAGTAAGTTATAGTTCTTTATTAGCTAAAATACATATTGAATGAAATATTGTGCTGTTACTAACCTAACCTAATACTGCTGCAATTCAAAATTTCTCTTATTTTTATGTCTTTTAATTAATGTTGTTTCTTAAAATATATTCCTATAACACCAACATTTTCAAAGATTCTAAAAGTTAAACAATAAATGTTTCTTATTTTATTCAAGGCTTATGTTATTTTTTTATTATAAAATTTAGAATATGGTTGTAAATAAAATTTCGGGGACCATGAAGAAAGGAACAACAACAACAACTGGTACCATAAAGTCATCTGGACCCACTAAAATCTTGCCAGCACCAACTCTAATAACAACTAAAAGTCCAATGATGCAACAACAGAAAATTTTTATACGACAAGTAATTTTAATGAATAAATAACAATTATTTTAATGGAATTTATTAAATAAATTAATGTATTTTTGTATTTATACTTCAGGGTGGAGTTTTCAAACAAGGCACACTAGTGTCAACTAGTAATGGTGCAAATCAGGTTATAAGATTACCATCTATTGTTAGCCAGTCATCTTCACCAGTATCAACTATTCAACATATACGACTTCCAACAGTTAATGCTTCAACTGTTGCTGGTTTACAACAAGTTAAGATGCCAGTAACCTCTGGGATACAACAAGTTCTACCCAATAAACAAGTAATATAATTCAACATTTTATTGTTTTTAAAATAATACAAAACTATATTTTTTAATTGTATTAGGTTCAATACATAAGACTAGTACCTACAACTGCCACAAGTAGTTTGGGTTCTTCTACTGTATCTGTTGTAACAACAACTACAGCACTTCCAAAGCAACCTCAAATAGTCACATTATCAACCTCGACTCCAAAATCAAGTGTTAAAACTACAACTGTAGCTAAAACTTCTACAGCTAGCAATCAACAGCCAGTTACAAATCATATAAAAGTTTTTACTGCTTCGCCACACGTACATAATATTCAATTTATATATGTTCAATTTATAACTATTTTTATTGTAAAAATATTAATTTTTTTCATAGACTGTGACATCTAGTCAACAAAGACCAATATTACCTGCGAATAAACCTAGTACAAGTTCATCTGTAGAATCAAAAAAATCTAGTAGTTCTAACAATCAATCAACTAACTTTACAAGCTCTAAACAAGTATATTAAAACAAATTATACTATTCAAAATTTTCCTCTAATATTATGTAAATAATTTAGGTTTCTACACCCAAAGTTATGATCAAAGAAGAAATTATTGACGATGATATTCCCATAAGGAGAGAAGATAAAAAAGAAACAAACTTGACTACCCCAACTTTACCAAAGATTGGTAGACCGTCATCTTCCGTTACACCTGTGTTATCTGAAACAAAACCCAAATCAACAAGTGATGTGAATAAAATAAGAAAACCTTGTAACTGCACTAGATCACAATGCCTTAAACTGTATGTTAAATCCTTTAAACATTTTTAAACATTACTGACAGGTTATTTTACATTATTATAGTTATTGTGATTGCTTTGCCAATGGTGAATTTTGTTACCAGTGTAACTGTAATTCATGTTACAACAACATGGAACATGAAGAAGATCGAGCACAAGCGATTCGATCAGTATTAGATAGAAATCCAAATGCATTTAGACCAAAAATCAAAAGTTTTGTTGGACAAGCCGAGCGACAACATACCAAAGGATGTAATTGTAAGAGATCAGGATGTTTGAAAAATTATTGTGAATGCTTTGAAGCTCGTATAGCATGTTCACAAAACTGTAAATGTATTGGTTGCCGTAATATGGAAGACGATTCGCATACTTCGTTTGGAGACCATCCTGGATCTTTAAGTGTAGAACATTTAAAATCCAGAACAAAATCAGCTAATTTTATAACATCATTTGGTAGCATGCAAGCTGCAAATGCTATACCAAGGTATAAAATGTAACAAAACTATTGATACTTATACTATAAATTTAATTTTAATAAATTGTATGCACTTAAACTAAAAACTATTGCAATTAATTATTTTGCACTTAGTAATAATTTTCTTATTTTACAGTCAACCATTCAAATTTTTTACTAATGACGTAGTACAAGCAACATGCCGCTGTCTTTTAGCACGTGGCATGGAAGCTAAAAAATTAAATGCTGGTGCTGAAGAATGCCAACGTATAATAATCGAAGAGTTTGGACAATGTCTTGTCAAAATCATGGAATTAGCGTCTGAAAAATCTTTTTTATAATCAAATAAAAATGTTCAGATTATATATGTATAGTCTACTTTAATTCTAAATTATACCCAAAACTAATTTAATTTGGGTATAATTGCTTGTTTATTAGTTTAAATTAAATTAAATTATTTGTTGTGTGTTGGAAAATTTTGTACATAATTTTTTTATGTATACGTACATATTTTTTAAGTCATGTGCATATGGTATTCAAATGTTTTTATTTTCAAATTTTATCAACTTGTGTGTAATACAAATTTCTTAATATATTTATTACAAATTTAACATTAAAAAGCATTTTTGTTTTTGGTTATAAAATGTTTAGCCTTTTCCTTTACATTGCCATCTCTGAATATTTCATTTTCTGGTTTAACACGAAATGGTGCAAGCAGTTCCTTTGTCTTCTTTGCTTTACGCTGTATTTTATTATTAGCATACTTGTCTTTCTTATTATCTTTCAATAAACGTCTTGTCTAAAAGAAATAAATATATATATGTTATTATATCCATGGAAGACATTTATAATTTTTTTTTTTAATAATACCTTTGCTGGAGTAATATAAAATGGATTTTCCCACAGAGTTTCACCACAAAAACTTCCTTTAAAAATGCGAATCGGTTGCAAGACAAATCTTGGGCCTACAAATAAATTAAATAAATTAAAAATATAATTTTGAAAATAAAAATTTAATTTACCAATTTCAGCTATTGCACCATTCTCGTCTAATATTTGATAGTTCCTAAACCAAATTCTATTATCCAATACAGAGAAGTTTAAAACATTGTCAACGAATGGTTGACTCTTGGGATGATGATCTGGCACACCAAATATCTGTATAAACATTTCTCGTAACAGAGAATATTGAGGATGCGCATCAAAAGAATTGTCAAATGACAACAATGGCCGTGATCCTTTTAAGCAATTGCCAGTTAATTTTAGTTCAGCACTTGTAAATACTATAATAACAAATAATTAAAAAGATGTTCCAATTTGCATTATATTCAAATTACTTACTACTTTCCACATTAAATTTAATACTAGGCCCATTTGGCGAATTTGAAAACCACATGTATAAATCTCTTTGAAGTCTGCCATCAAATAAAATGCATTTATTACAGTGAGACATCTTGCACATCTAACAAAAACATAAATGTTATAACTATATTAAAGAATAAAATAAGGTAACATTTAAAAAAAGAGAATTTTTAATTCATCATACCTCGTTAACTACAAATAAATTTTCTTTTCGTTCCATCTTGTTTGCCGATTTAGCATGAGGCAACATTTTGATTATATCTTTCATCAAATGACGATGTTGGAAACTAATCCCACGAGTACCAAACACCAAAATCCGTTCTCTGTTTACCCATTTAGCCTAAAATAAAATGAATAATATAAAAGCTGTAATTGAATGTAATTGATATTGGTTTATTATACTATAGTTAGATAGTGAAATATTCTATCAACTGATCAGTTGTGAAATAGAAGTATTGTACATATAATAAAATAACAAAACTCCTAATAAATATTTTTAGTATGATGATAAATTAATAAAAATATTAAAAATTCTTATATATTGCTTATTGCTACAAGATTTTTAAGAAAATATCAGTTGATTTTTTCAATATCTTTATCAATCTAGCAAGACCAAATTTTTGCAATAGTAATTAGTAATTTTATACAAAAACTACTAAGTGAACATGATAATAAACAAATATTGTTAAGAGTCAATGAAATGATTTTTCATGGTTAACAATTTAAAACTAATAAAACTGTTAGAGTTAGTTATTAATAACTTCAATTAATTAAATATATATTTTTAACAACATATTTTACACATTTTTTTTTTTTTTAACTTAGGGGAAACTCTATTAGCATTACTTTCCCTAACTTGAATAGCTTAGCTATAAAATGAGAAATATTAAATGAGGTTTTGTTGTATTGAGTATACAAAGATATAACGCTGACATAATTTTCACATAAAATAAATTTAAGATAACAATGAAATAGTAAATCTATAATACCAAATCTTAAAAAAGGGCAACATACGATAATTGATGCATTTTAAACTCGCGGTTTAAAGAACGATCCATTGAACAGACAAGATTTAGTATTCAATTATTTTACAAGCACTACTGTTGTTAGAATAAAGCATGAATCGTATCTAGAGATGTGTGCGTCTATATGAGCAGAGAATAGTATAGAAGTAAAATTGAATTAAAAAACAAACCTTTTTGGTAACCGGTTCGTCTGAGCGTCGGACGAGGGGCAAAATCACCTTCGACTCATCTTCTTTTTTTACTACTTCCGTTTTTTGCTTCCTCTTCAAACCTTTCTTCGCCATTTTCAATAAAAATCAACAACAGTACCTACAACAGCTACAACACGTGCGATGTGTTTTGAGAATTTTATAATTTTGTATTTGACAGTGATAACGGAATATTATATTAGCATAGCACAAGATAACGTATCGTCTGTCTGCTCTGAGTACCAACGTAACTGAACCAACGCGTACCATAAAACAGGAGCGAAACATAATAAATAACGATTAAACACAGGTATTGATTACCTACGTCCTACGTTTTACGTGAGAAATAAGATTTATAGGACTATGAAGGTATGAAAGTACAGACTCCGACTACCAAATTCAATTTTGAAGTTACGTACTATATTATTTGCGGTCGCTGTAGTCGTCCATCAGAACGTTTCAAAAATTTCGATTTTCGTTAACGCTATATACCGAAAATTTACAGCGTTTCTAATGATATTTCGGTTTACGAAACTAACCACTAAAATAATAACAGTATTTCTGAATTCCACGCAATCTTCAGTTTTTTACACCGCTGTTGACTTACGAAAAAATATATAATAAATATCTCATCATTTTTCGCGATTCAATCGGTTGCACCGTCACAGTACCTATCACAAATAAGTATTTATGAGCATAGTACCTATATGTGATAAATTATAATGCAATAAAAACTATGCGGGACGTTTGAATCATTTATGTGGAACTACTAACTATTAACCTCCAAAATAAATCACGACTCACGAGTAGGTATTAGGTAAATAATTATAGACGCTCAATATTTCGAAAAGACTTTCGGCTTTTTATCACATTTTTTCATATAAATTCGGCATTAGCTGATGACGGCAACCTAAATAAAGTTACTATTACATTCATACAAGTTGCGATCTCGTCTCCGTTACTGCGGATCAAAATCGATTTAAAATATAAAAGATGTAAAATTCAAACGCGAAAAGCGCATGCATTTTACCATATGGTTTTTTTGTAGACGTTTAATTGATAATAATAACATTACACTTAATAAACAGATTTTAACGCTCGTGCTTAGATAGACCACGTATTTATACCGTACATATATAATAAAAATATAATCAATATATAAAAGCCTGAGTTAGGTGTAGTTATACACAATACATGATGCCATAGCCCATAGTGTAGACTGAGGATTCATGGAGGATACTAGATAATTAAGTTTATTATTATATTACCCATTGTATTAATATATTATGTAACGAGATTCCCATATTCAAAATATTTAAAATTCTGTAGCCAATATACTTATTAAATACCTATAGACTTGATACTGACACTGTGCTACCTACTGTAATGATTTAAAAAAATTAATCATAAACTCGAATCTAATATTTTGCGTGGGTATATCAAATAATAGCTGTAGTCCATACCCCCTGAATACTCTTGTTTATTTAATACCTAACTACGATTGATCAATTGAAACTTAAAAACTATTCTGATCAAAATGAAAAACAAAAACAATTTTATAAGTTTAATAATCACAAATACAATCGTACATTCGTACGTATATGTATATTGTTTAACACAAAAAAAATGCTTTTGGTAACTATTAGAGATTACTATTTTGGTAAAAACAATAACGAATTACCTGGTGTCTAACTTGAATTTAATATCATTATGATAATTAAAATGACGCGAAATCACTAACAGCGCAAGTATTATACATTTACAATGCAATAAATGTTTCTGTAGTATCGGAGTCTGATAACGAAATATTTAGATCAAGGTCATATGTAGGTATATGTTTACATTCAACATTCAACTATTGCAGTTAGATATAGATGATCATGGAACGATATAGTGTGTAGTTCATCGTAAGTTACAGGCTAACATTACGATTAGTGCACTAATGCACAATTTATGTACTTATAAAAATCGAATTTTGAATGCGGCACAAAAAAATAATGAGATATTAGATAATAATAAATAATATATATCAATACTTAATACTTATTGATATTTTTTAATATGCATGTTAGTTATTTGCATAATTTTTTCACTTAGTTATACACAATATTACTATTATTTACCAATATACATGACCATGACTAGTATAAAGCTTAGATTCTAAACATAGTTTATTGCTAGCTGCTAGGTAAGTTATTATTAATAATTACCTAAAAATTACCTTTCCTACCATAAATACGCCCTTATAGATTTCTGTAGTTCTGTATTAATCTATACTAAATATTATGGAAGTCAACATAATTATTATTATTATTATTATTAATCCACCTTAACCCTTAGGCTCTGACCCCCAGTACTCTGAAAATATTGTATTCTGTGGCTGGCGGGTGGTGCCAACAAGATAATATCTAGTTTAAATAAATTAATTAATTTGGTATTTTTATTTTCATAATATTTAAATCATGAGAAACAAATTTTACGCACCTATCTACTTACTGTAAATTATAATCTATTTTCACATGTTTGAGTGTTTGACGATTAGATATTCAGATGATGTATTGAGTTACACCTTACATAAAATTGAGTTCAATAAGATTTTATTAAACCAATAAATGTATATTATAATTCTAGAAGTTTGCGTAATGTTATTGAGTTGTAAAACCTAATTATTAATAGATAATGATAATTGATGGTTATAAAAAAATAAAAATATTAAAAGAAAAAATTACAAATAAATAACCAAATATTCTAGCTCATAAGTTAAATCTGCAGTAAAACGTATTACTAACTTTAACTTGAATTATCATCAGATTGTTTAAAGCAAGAGCCGTTTACAGAGTGCGGAATCAAGTCACTACCGTTGATAGTTCTAAGAAAACGATTTACAGCTGCTGAAGTGCTGACACCTTTAACTCTGAGTAATCTGCAGAGTAAACACTAAATTATTACAAATATTATAATTTACTATAGTTTCGTCATGTACTCATTCCCTAGGTCACGAAACATTTCACGTAAATACGTAACGTAGATCTTAGTTTGGAAATTAGTATACTATCTATTGAACACTTTAAGACCCTCAAGTGCCAACTGCCGATTTGACGAAGTAAGTTTAAATCTGCACCAGCCACCAGCGACGAATATTTGGCAAGGATATCTCACACCAGTCGTGAGAACTTTTAAGACAGAGATGTTGATTTTTTAATATGCACTTTGATCATTTTAAACAAAATATAAGAATATATAATATAATGCATATAATTATTGAATTACCTATATGAATTATGAATAAATTCTTGATATAAACCTTTATAACTTATTATGTTTAATAATTTATTAATGGGCAGCAACTTTGTTATGGTGAATAGGAATAGTCGCTAATTGGGAATCGGTAAACTGAAATGTCAACGAATTGGGATTCAGCAAATTTATCGACGTAGGAAGACTTATTGTGTAAACTTGATATAGAAACAATTCACTTGTAAAATTATTTGTTACTGGTACATTTCTGAGGATTATTGGCGAATATAAAATGTATCACAAATCAATGGAAAAATTAATATACTTGGCAATTATAACAATTTTAAGAATACTGGTGTTTCCACCACTGACCACTGCACCAGGAAAACATTAGTAGCGTGTATGTAATTCAGGGTACAACAAAAAAGGGAGAAATCAAAATATTTTAATATGATAACTATTGATAAATATTTATATACTTTGCGCATGGAATTTGAATATATTGTGAGTAAATTAGCCTATTTATCAATGGCATAAGAATATTATCTGCTATGTTAGTACAATACATTTTTTTACAGTATTCTAATTTTTAAGCGAGTTATTAGAATCACTTAAAAATTAACTATTAAAAATATGAGCCCTCGTGCTTTTCTGACCGGCCAGGCAATGGTCCCTGCGCGAGTCTCGACTGCCACGAACACAAATCGATATATTTCCCGAAATACGACGTCACGATGGGTTTCGGCAGTCGTCGGGACTCAGTTTATCATGCTTTATTTAAATAATTGCGGATCGTATAATGCTGCCTAGCTTTGTCTAAGACTAAGGTGGATTGAATAATTCTTATTAAAAACATCCACATATCAGCACATTCCTGCCAATTTTTATTTTAAAAACATTAGTGCGTACATATTATAGTCAAATAGGTATATAAACGCCCACAAATTACAGTACCTGTGCTGCATATTATGATGTATCAGTTCAGTATTTACACTACCTAGTGAGATTTTCAGTATCCAATATCCATAATATAATTAATACAAATTACAAACACAACTTATTATTAATTTAGAAAATAATCACGAAAAATACATTTTATATTTTTACCAATTAGTACATAATATAACCATCTATAATGGAGCAATAAGACAATAATCGTATAGAGACATAGGTGGACATTTGGGGGGGGGGAGATTAACCCCAACCTAAAAATGTCATTAGACCCCCAAAAATCTAAATTACTTTCGAAATATTATTATTACTAGGTACCCATATACAATAATTATCTGTTAATTTTTTGAAAATTGTAAAATAATATTTTACCAACATATACTGCTTATAAATGTTTATAAGCAAGTTACTATTGTATTAAACACATTTAGATTCCAGATAAATGAGATCCGATAACATTTATTATCGTACTTTAATATAATAGCATTTGTGTAATAATGCTAGTTATATATTTTTACATGCTGTTATTCATCTTTTTATCGCAAAACGTGTACCTATGTACATTATACACACATATAATACATTATAATGATTATTGTCCATTTGTATTTACATAACCTTATTAAATCAATATTTAAGAGTTTTGTCAGAAAATCAAACAGTATTCCCTGATTTGCAAAAACTATTTACAATAGCATTGACAATTCCAATCAGTTTGGCTACTTGCGAAAGAAGTCTTAGTCCAATGAAAAAAATTAAAACTTGGTTAAAGACATAGATGCTTCAGGATAGGTTCAGCGATCTTTCAATATTATTTATAGAAAAAGATTTGTCCAAAAATATTAAGAACGATGATATTTTAAATACCTTTGCCGATAAAAACAGATATTTGTTATCAAAATAAAATTAATCATTAATTATTTTCAAATTTATTTCGTTTAGTGTTTTTTTTTTATTACTTATACATATTAATATATTTTATTAGTAATATGTTGTAGTTGTATATAGAAAGAATAGTGCGGGGGCGAAGCCCCTGTCGGTCACTTTAGTTGAACTGTAATAGAGCCCCTAAAAATGTAACCAAAGTTCGCCCATGTATAGAGACTGGTTTTCATAAGTTTAAATAGTTTAATAATTTATTATTACATATACCTACTACAACGTGTGCACAAGACATCACATGGGCTTATGGCGAATAGACACTTCGATGATTGATGTCACTGGACTTTTGTTTTATTTTTATTATTATTATTATTATTACAATTATTATAATTAACTAAAAAAAAGAAAATATGATTTGAAGCTTTCGGCTTTTATTGATAAGGGTAATCGACAAAAATATTTGCTTACAATCTACAGAGCCCTGCGATGGTTAGTTAATCCAGCCCTGAGCTTAACTATAACCAATGTCTAATGTGCTAGAAAAGTGTGCTGTACACGACGAGTACGGTTACCGTAATTAATGAATATTAATCGTCATTCGTCAATAATGCTATTCAGGTGCCAGATGTTTATGAAACAAAGTTATATGCATTGTAATATCGCAACTCGATGACGAGATAAAACGTCGCCACTGATATCTAATATTTTGTAGTGAACAAAATCGTGACGATATCACACATCGTTAGGTAAAATGTAAAAAGTAAAATCTCCCGATTCTTTTTCACAATTTAAATGGTAACATTGCTCTGCTGAAAATTTACGAGAATTACCTTATACCAAGTGTGCAATTTCGTGGTCGACGACGTCGGCCGTGGTATTGGTATACAATTACAAAAATATAACGTGTATAATAATTATACCATTTACCGAGCCGCGGCTGGCAGAGCGCAGCGCACGCGGCACACCGCAGTCGCGATGTGCGCACTCGATCGAGTGATGGTAAGGCGACGAACGAAGGGAATCATCATAAGGTTAACCAACCCGCGGTGTATGTCGTCTGTACACCAACACGACCGACCATTAAGCGGCTAAGCGGTGGCAGTTGCTGCTGCTGGTCAATCGTTACGATATTATACATAAATATATTGTTCGTTCCGAGTAACGACTCACGATGACGACGGCACATTAATTATAATACAATATAATATATTATTATTAATTGTTACGAAGAGCGCGCGTTGGGTGACGCTATTACACAACAATTTACACCTACATCACAGTGGTTCCAAAACGGTGGAGATACCAGCTGCACCATTGGCGCTCCAAGTCTCCGCACGTTCTTCGGTGGTCCGCATTTGGATATCACCGCCGATCTGAGTGGATTCTGTCCAATAGATCACGACATCCATCACTGTCCATCAGTCATCGGTATTCGGTACGACAACAATAATAAAATTTCGATAATATTATTGATTATAATACGCACGGTGGAGACATTCTCAGAGAGCGCATTATTCTTCTGAAGACATTGGTTTGGCGGGACCGGTGAAAGTTTGCCGAAGGGGCAGGTAGGGGTCTCAGCCGTCGCCCGACGACCCACTGACGACGTCGGCAGCGGGTACGCGCCCACTTGTTAGTTGTTAGTTGTCGTACTGCCACGCGGGCCTTCTGTTCCGCGGTTCCGCTGAGTAGTCGCACGAAAGCTCAGCAAAAATAATTCACGGTGGTAAATGTAATATACACGTATATAGTAGTAGTGGTATATTACTATATATACACATTATACGGAAAACACGGTATCGAGACCCGCCGAGGTTGGCAACAGTGCGGCCCGATATTGCATGTACCGATCGGTGATCATGCGTGATTTCGTTCACCGAAGAACATCTTCGCCGCCGCCGTTTGCGTCGTTACGTCTTTAGCGCCGCCGAAAGCGCTGCCTCCGTCGTGCCGTCCCGCACGCACCACCGTTGTCCGTCGCTCTTCGGACCGATTTCGTGTTTTGCCTTCGAGCTTTTTCCGTATTCCATGTCCGAGGCACGTCCAAGCAAGTCCGCCGTGTAAGTTTCCCGGGCCACTGAAGCCAATCAAATTTGGAGGTCTGGGAACCATGGACGCCTAAGAAGAACTGTAAGTGATTTGTTGTTGTTGTTGTTCTTATTATTATTGTTCTTTTTGTACTTCTTGTTCTCCTTGTAGTTCTGTGCGCTTTTTACGCCGTGTACAGAGTCGTTGCTGGTGCCAAATGAACCTGGGATTTCGTATTAAATAGTTTTTTAATTATTAACAATACCACAATTATTATCTGAGTATTTTCTTGGATCTGTCACTCATACGCAATAGTCTCCTACACACTGTCGATGCAATCATCATTCGTATAATACTTTTTTGTTTTCTTGTCGATATTTGTGACGTACCGATTAAACGTCTCTGCTGTCAAACTGATCCACAAGTTAATTAAGTCTTGGTGTTTATATGTTTTACCTGTTCAGGGCTCAGTGTATGGTTTTTGTGCATAGGCTTCCAAAAAAAATTATTTAATCTTTACCCATCTGTTATTTAATTAACACAAGCAAAGATAAGAATGATAATTGTTGATAGTTAACTAATTTCACTTTATGCCTTGCCTGTTTGTATACCCACCTAGTCATCTCAGTGCTCTGTCATAATTTTGATTTCAACCAAATCAATTAAAATGTACAAGGTTAGGTACCCAACAGATAAGTGTAATTGTATCCACTGATACTATAAGTCATTACTCAATTACCTAGTAGTTTTTATCATTTTTAGAAGAATATATGTAATCAATTTATTTGTAATACAATTTTAATGTTTAAATACCTATTTAGTTTTTATAAGTTGAGCGATAAGTTCAAAAAGATATTCTTGCTTAAATCGATGTTTTAAATTGTATTGTTTGAACAAACCAAAACAAAATATTAATGTATCTTTACTACTAATCATATTTTGTTTCTAATTAAATAACTAGGAGCTTAAATGTATATCAGTTTATTACTTGGTTATTATGGTTAACATAATGGTTTTATAAATTTAAGGTATATTTCTGGAAAAAAAATTAATGACAGAATATTTTTCATTATTTTGTTATTTTTTACTAAAACATCACTTGCTAAAGTTTTATAGGTATATTTGATGTTTGATGTTTTGAATTCAGTTGATCAAATTAGTACCTATCAAATGATAACATGTTTTTACTACAAATTTTATATTTTTATCATATATTTGATATGATTTAGTCATTGTATGTTAAAATGATTTTTAAAGTAGATAGTATTGAACATATCTTTTTGTTTATTTCTGATAGTTAATGATTAATTGCTATTATTGTTAATGACTAGAAATTAATTTTTATTTTTTCAGAGATACTTGCAGTTACTGAATTTATAAACATGAACCACTTAAAAGATAGAAAGCCTAGTAGGCCTGATATTCAAGAAATTTTATCTAGAATGAAGAGTCGATTTAGCAATGAAGGAGATTCAGATAATGATGATATGGCTAATGAAGAAAATATGGTGACAACAAGTGTAATTGAAACTACTATAAAAGAAGAATTTCCTGTAGCAAAAAGTCCAGATGATGAGATTGCAGAACTCATGCTAAAATTAAATGGACAAGTGGATGAAGAGTTAGTAGCTAGTATTAGATCTAGAAAGAAAATGTATGAAAACCAATCTGAAGTCGATAGTACGTCAACTACAAATAATTCTGATGAAACCGAACATGAAAAACCTAGAATCATCTTGACATTGAGACCAAATGAAAATAAACCTGATTCTTATGTGAGTTCTAGCAATCTTACCGATTATAGTTCTAATAGCCCAAAAAGAAAAAAACAAATCAACAATGTTAACCCTGAAGTTATACCTCTCAAAAGATCTTCAAGAAGGTCTAACAACAGTAATCAATCAGTGTTGAAATCTGCTATTGCTCGAAAAGAAAGAACGTTCAGTATTGTTGTAAATTCAAAAAAAAAATCACCTAAGAAAATAAAAATAGAGCCAAATGAAGTTAATGTTGTTCCTGTTAGTACAACACAACCTCCAATTGAAAAAGAAAATGAGAATATTAAAGATGTAAAAATCAAAGAGGAAGTAAATGAAGAAATTACTATAGATCATAAAAAAAAAAAAAAGAAGTTCTTTAGAGGTGGAAGATATAATATTTTTAAAAAAAAAATAGTACAAAAAGAACGTCAAAAAATTAAAAAAGCTATTTGTAATCAAGTGAACTCTGATATTACAAATTTTGACGCAGACTCATCAGAAACCAACTCAGAAAGACATTCTATTTCAGGTATATTGTTTGGATTGAATTTAATTTTTATATAATATACTCACAATATTGAAATGTATTGTTTTCAGTTTGTAGTGATATAGGCACATTAATATCTAGTGAAAGAAATGATCAGGACGATATGGATACCATTATTTCAACCATTGATGCTGAAGGTATAATCATTTAAATATAATTATAGATTAAAATACAAGTCAATTATGATATAAACAGGCCATTTATTTGATACTCATTCACTTTGCTTTCACATTAATATAGATATATGGACATTTTATCCGTAAAATAGTATTGCCAATAAAAATACTTATTGTTGTCAATTATATTTACAGCCTATAGTAAAACATAACCTTGACCAGGCTCAGTCTTTGCTGATCTTGATTTATTGATAATTAATTATTAATTATTATTTATAAATTTAAGATGGATACTCATTTGGTATATTGTGATTTATTTACTGCATACAATCAAATTAAAATATTTATAAATATTGTTTTTTTTAATTGGTAATGATGTAATTCATATTTTATATTTAACACATTATTTTTATAGATAAAATACATGACAGTGGGCTTGAAATACAAGAAATTCATTTATGTCTGTGTCAAGAAAATATTCAAGTGGTAATAGTTGATGAAGGAAAAATTACCTGTAAAGCTCATGATTGTATAGATGGAAAAGTTTATGCATGTAAGAATTTGGCTTCTCACTTAGATGAATATGGCAACATGCCTATGTTAAGAGCTAATGTTGCTCTACCTTATGTCACATACTGTGAACATCATATGAGACGCTTCTTTTTACACCACAGTTGCCCACGTTGTGGACGGTTTTGCTCGGAGGTAAAGTATATTTTTTATTATTTATTTCTTGCAATAATATTAATATATAAATATTACTGTTGATATTTAATTTTATTAACAGGAGTTGAGATTTATATTAATTATGACTGTTTTTTAACTTAATTTCTAGGGAATATTTATGATGTGCAAAAATAAACATTTTTTCCACATTGGTTGCCATCAAAATGATAGGGGTTGTTTACATTGTGGTGACCCTGATGTGTATGATTTTGAACTAAAAAAAATTGTAATTCCATCTAAGAAACAAACCCAGCATAGAGAAGATTTTAAATCACATGTTACTGTTGAAGTGGGAAAATTAAAGTTGAGCACTCTCGACTGTCCACCAGAAATTGATATTTATACATTTTCTAAATACTTGCAACAACTTAAAGATGAAATTGTTGATACCAAACGCACTAAGTAAGTCATTAAAAAATAATTTTACAATATTAGTTATTAATAAGTAAGTAAGTTTTGTGGTGTATTGGTTGAGAGGTATAGTATACTGAGTATACTGTATACACTCACTTCTCTAGTTTTTTCTTAAATGTTTGATAATACCTGGGTATTATCTGGATATACTGCTATTATACCTACCCTATTAGAATTTTCAATTACAAAAACTAAATATTCTGTAATAATTTGTGATTTTCAATCCTAAGAGGTGATTTACTATTTAGTAATTATTAAGTGATTATCAAAAAATATTTTGAAAACCAATGACCTTTTATCTACTTAATACCATTAATAAGTATATTCATTTTTTTCATTTTTCTGAATTTAAGTTTTAAAAAATAGAAAAATAAATTTATATGTATTATGTAATTCTTTTCATTGGTTTTTATAATTTTTATTTGAAAAATAACAATAAATATAATATACTAAAGACCATCTTCTGAGATAAGTATATTCATTGAGAAGCAAATACTTCTTAATATAATAACTAAATACATTTTATGTGTATTTATTATAAAAATGTGTAGCTAAATTAAAATAAATTTCTTACATTAATCTAAACAGCAAACAGTAATTAGTAACCCTTTTATATTATTATTATTATTATTAGAAAATATACGTTACTTTTAATTGAATAATTTTTAAGAGTGATTTATAATAAATAAATTAAAATATTATATTTGTTACTTATAAGAAGGAATAATTTATTTATGTTTATTTATAATCAATGGTATTTGAAATACGAATGTTTTTACTAAATTTTGTAATTTTATTAAATAGGCATTCAGTTCAAGGACTTTATGAAGCTTGCAAATCAAATAATATAAAAAGTGTTTTATCAATTTTAGGTAAACTTATTCTTAACACAATTACTATTTTTTGTTAAGTTTTATCATTTTTAATCAATTGTTTAAATATAGGGGCGAAATGCAATCTTATGTATACTTTTCCTAGTAACCATAACCGAACAGCACTGCATATTGCATGTAGACAAGGAAACCTAATGGTTGTATACATATTATTAAAAGCCGGTGTTGATCCAAACCAAGTTGATGACAAAATGAAATCCCCAATGAGGATGGCTGCTAAAAGTGGTCATAGCGATATTGTTCAATATCTCATCAACTTTAATGGTAGCCCTGAAATCAAAGTAATATTGAAATTCAAATTAATTTCTTATAAAATAAATAATAATATTCTTATTGTGTTGTTATTCATCAATTATCAATTATTATTTTAGGATATACAGGGTATGACCGCACTTCATTTGGCTGCTAAGAATGGAAAGTTAGAATGTTGTAAGATTATATTAAATTATCAACCTTCTATGGTAAATTGGAAAGATAATGGAGGATGGACTCCTCTTGTTTGGGCTTGTGAAAATAGTCATATTGATGTCGTGAAGTATAATAAATACAATATTTTAATTTAATTGTTTTATATTAATTTTAATATAAATTTAGGTTTTTTACTACATATAAACCAAATACAAGGATATCAGATGATGAAAATAATGTTGCATTACATTGGGCAGCAATTTCTGGATGCCTTGAAGTTGTTAAATGTTTGGTGGAGTATGATTCCGAAGTAAATATGTTCAATGAAGCTGGGGAAACTGCACTGTAAGTATCTGTTGATACATTTTTTTTTTTTTTGCCTGATTCAACTGCATTAATTTTTTTTGTTAATAATTTTTAGGCATATTGCTGCTCGTAAAAATGCTGTAGACATAGTATCATTTCTATTAGATAAAGGTGCTATGGCTTGGCATAAAAACAAAGGGAAAAAAAGACCAATTGACCTCTGTCTTCCAAATTCAAAATGCTATAATATATTAAAAAATGTTCTACCAGAACAACGTAAACCAGTTACTGTTATTCCTCCTTTAAACACTGTTAAGTTAAATTATACTGAATCAGAACTTAAGCCCAAAACACCTGTTGTAAAAACCACTCCAGTTATTATATCTGAGTAAGTAAACTATTACTTTTTTAATTATTTGTTAATTTTCCTGTAATTATTAACTGTAATATATGTTTATACAGAGATATATCTCATGGCTGTGAAGATAATCCTATCAGGTGTGTAAATGAAATTGATGATGAATTACCTATTGATTTTACATACATCAAAGAAAACTGTTACGATGTTGGGAACTATGTTGATTCCGCCATGTCTCATATAGCTGTGAGTTACTACTTATATAACATTTTAGTATGAAATGACAAGTAATTAAAATAAATCTTATTTTAGAGCTGCAATTGTGATGGTGCTTGTAATACAAATGATTGTAAATGTGTATTAGCTAACGGTGACTGTTTGTATGATGAAAATGGGCGCTTGAATTCAGAATTTGATTATTTTAGTAAGTATTAAACAAAATCTATTAGATATTTTAAAGAATAGATATTAACTTCAATATAATTTTTATATCAGATCCAAGTGTTATATTATATGAATGTAATTGGCGCTGTAGATGTCATAAACAACTATGTGGCAACAGAGTTATACAAAAGGGTATTAAAGTAAAATTAGAATTGTATAAGCATAAAGATATGGGTTGGGGAGTAAGAACGCTACAACCAATACCTAGAGGGACTTTTGTGTGCGAGTATGTATTCTAATTATTTGACTAAATAAAATTAATAATTATCAATGTACTTCAATACTTCAATTTAAAAATATGATTTATGTTTTAAGGTATATTGGTGAAATAATTACAGATCAAAAAGCAAATGATTTAAAAGAAGATTCTTATTTATTTAATTTAGAAAATCCTGTAAGTTAAATATGAATCTAATGGTTAAAAACTTGTAATTTAATTTTTAGAGCTACAAAGAAAATAACTTTTTTTAACTCATTTTAGGGAGCTACTGAATTATATTGCATTGATGCCTATAACTATAGCAATGTGTCACGTTTTATTAACCATTCGTGTGATCCAAATCTAATGTCTGTTCGATCATTTATCAATCATCATGATAAAAGGTTTCCTAGAATAGCATTTTTTGCTGTCCAAGATATAAAAAAAAGTGAACAGTTAAGGTAATACTTCAAAAACTTGTATAATTTTGTAATATATTAGTGCAGCGGTCTTCAACCTTTTTGGACTCGCAACCCAATATTTTAGACCTGCATTTTTCACGACCCATTTAAGTTTTGTAGAATAACAAAAAACAAGCTTAAATTGCTTAATACTTTGTATCAGTACTATGATAACTGAATAAATAAAAATTAAATTTTTATTTTAAAAATAAGACCCAATTTTAAAGCTTACACAACCCAAAAATAGGTTGCGACCCATGGGTTTAAGACCACTGTATTAGTTCATACCAAGTATGTCAAACACAAAGTATCAACAAACAAATAAAACAAATTAATTGTTAATTAGACACTTAAATATTGTTAAAATCAAAAATGAATTAGAATTAATAATTGTTTGATAATATTTAATATTTCGTTTTTACCATTAACTTTTCTATTTTGGGAAAATTTTATTTGACAGAGCTATTTCTAATACAGAATTAAATAAAATGTTTGTTGACTTAGATCAAACAGGAGACTTTTTGCTATTCATTAATAAAATCAGTTGCTCACATTATTAAATACTACTAAAAAAACGTTAAAATTATTAAAATGAATTTATATCAAAAATATCTACAATATCAGTTATTTTTGGGAGAGTACATATACATTTTACATAAAATGTACTTTACTAAATTATATCTTTATCTAACATTATAAAAAAATAGTTATAAAATAAATATCATATAATATATTAATTTTTTTAATCTTTTTATTTTTATTTAATTTTCTTTTGATTCTGTTGGCCACTGGCTGTATATAAAAAAAAAAAATAAGTTGAAGGTTATGTGTTTGACATAGCCTGGTGTAGACAATAAATATAAATATTTTTTATTTTATAATTTTAGTTATGATTATGGAACTGCTTTTTGGAAAGTGAAGAGCGGCTTTTTCACGTGTAAATGTGGTAAATCTAACTGTAGTTTTTCTGATGAAACCATCAAAAACCTCCAAATTGATTCAGATAATGAAGACATAGAACCAGATGAAAATTCTGAAAAAAATGAAATTCCTGATGATAAACTATTAGTTCAAGAAGTGCCTGAGACCAATAAGACAGTTCGTAACACGTTGCGTCAAAGAACTAGATTATCTGTATCTATTAATTCATTAAAAAAAAAAACGGACTGCTTAAGTAATGAAAGTTTATTAATGACTGTAAACAGTATTCAACAAAATGATTCCAAAGGGACCAACATGATATCCACGCCTAAAAATAAGTTACTCGGAAAGACTAAAACTATTAGTTTAAGTAGTGCTATAAAAAACAAAGAATCCCATACAAATGAATCCAAACAGTTGTTAAAGGTAACTGATAAACGATTGTCAAAAACTACTGGATCAAAATTAATACAAAATAAATTAAAACAAGTTGTTTTAAAAAAAGGTTTAGGTGATAAATTGTCAAATGGAAACTCTGGTCCATCAATAAGTAAAAAAATATTTTCTGGAAAAAAATCATCAGTAGATACTACTGAACAAGGCAAACTTTGCAATGGTAATAAAGTGTCCCAGGGATCAACAAAATTAAACAAAAATAAAGCTATTAAAACATATGTATTAAGACGTAAAGCATTGAATCCTAATAAAAAAAATATTTTTAATATGTTAACTGATGGCACTTCTCGAAATAATGTTAACAAATGTAGTAGATTAATAAACAATACTAAGGTTATTATTTCCTCTGATACTTCAAATAGTAACTTTAAAATGACTCGAGATTTAAAGAAAAGTGATCAGTTAATAAACTTTATTAAAACTGAACGAATTGGTGAAGAATTTAAAACCAAATCAAACTTAGTTAATGGACAACGTAAGCTTGAGCGGCCAAGAACATCTGCATCCGAAGAAGTCAAAGTAGAACCTAATGATGAATTATATATTATAAATGGTTGTAATGATGAAAGCTTTCTCTATACTGATCAAGATAGTTGGTCCTCGAAGGGATGACTGAAATGACTGTAACAATGATGACAACATTTAAATAAATAATTAACTATTAAAAGTTGAACCCATAATGATACTTCTTTGAGAGATTACTTAAAATTTATTAACATTCTTGAAATTAATAGACTGATAATTTCTATTCAATTTTTAACTTAAAAGTTAATTATTATCAAAAGTACCTATTGACAGTGATAATTGTAATTGATGCAGCAATATACCATAAGATATTTAAAATTAAAATCAAATTATTTTAAAAATTTTAATGACTGAATATCTAACTTGATTTTATAAATTACTGATTGTATAGAATAATAATTAATATTATTGATTTCATTTTTTAAATACCATTTAAATTAAAACTTGAAATTTCTTATATTTTAATATTATATAGAAGTAGTTCAAATTTGATAAAGCAAAAATTGAACCACTAGAAATTTGAAATATGTATATATAAACTATCAACATTTCATAAAGTTGTATAATTTATTGAAAATTAGTTCATTGTGTAAATGACATAAAAAATTTATATTTATATTATTGCATAAGTTTGTTTTGTATTTTTGGATGGAATGCAACTCTAGTCATTTGGTCTTCCTAATTTAATTTAGTTAAGTTTATATATTTGAATCTTAAACCTTTTATTTATATTTATTTTTTAATTTTTATAGTATTGTACCATATTAGTTTTGACATTATTGTTTAATTACTTATATTTGTAAATATAATATTAAGTCTTTAAAAATTGTATCATCTTAAAATGTGTAATGTTTTTGTTTTAAAAACATTTGATATTATTGTATAATGTTTTATCTTAATTTTTGAAGTGTTCATTAGATAGGTTATTTAAGCATATTGTCATATTTTCTTATAACATAACCAATGATATTTGTACATTTTTTCATTGTGTTGATTTGTTATGTACATGATAGCCGATAACAGTTGATTGTTGATTTTGATTACTTTTAAGTTTATTGTTGTTGTAGTTATAATTAATAGCTACTTTTTTGTTGATTTCATTATGTGCGGAGAAAAATTTTAAATACAATTTCTGTTCATCATTTTTTTTTTTAATGTATTCATATACATGCCAATTTTTAGCCAAAGAGTGAACTTTTTTAGTACAATATAAATAAATGTTTTGATAGCATCATTTTTTTTTAAATAAACTGACCATTTGTATTAATTTAAATCAACATAAATTTGTAATGTATTTAACAACAATAATATTATATTTTTAAATTATAAAAACTGCAATAACTATCTATGTGATTATTTATTATCAATTAATCTATGTATGTTTTATCAGCTAAAGCTATTAGATGTTTGATTATGTAGATATTGTTTGGTGAATGTTATGGTAAATCTCTTATTCTCCAAGGCAAAAATTAGTGAATTAAAATTATACCTACATAATAATGTGTCAATTTGGTGTAACTATTGACTTATTATATAAAAATAATAATTTATTTTAAAGTATTTTTCTATTCAAATTATCCATTGAATTCATACATGTAAAATTTAATATTTTAATTAAATTAATGATTTTTAAATTTTTGTAAGATGGTTTAATATAAAACCATCAAAACTTTTACAAGATGATTATCCGTCTTGTATTTAAAATAATAAACGCGGACATTTTGCGCAGTCGGATAATAATAACCTAACCTTTTGTAGGCCTGCTATAATCGAGTACTAAATAAGCCATTCAATTTAAACATTTTTTGATAAACATGATTATATAATATAATAATAAGACATAAATAAAATATAAAAAGATATAGTGAACCATATCAATGAATTAAAAAAAAATTAATTTAATAATAACTTAGAAAATATATAGTTGTAGAATTGATTTCAAATAGTAAACAACAATTTCAAACTTGAAATTTTAGATATAAAAAGAGACGCATAACATAACTTTGTTTAACTGTATGAAAACATCAAAAAAAATTTGACATTGTCCAGTAAATAAATATTTTATAGATATTATTGTACACAGTTATTTTTTAATTGTGAGAAAAAGTGTCTCACTCATGTTTCAAAATTTAGTATTGATGTGAAACGTTTTAGTTACCTAGTTCATTTTCAAGACAAGATGAAATAACTTTAGTCAGCCTAATTGACCAAACATCACAAGTCTCCAACGTTCGTTACACTAATTAATCATTTCAAATAACGTTTAAACAAATTCGCAGATCCGGGTATTTTTTTTTTAAACCTTAAATATTAAAATTTATATTTTGTTTTCTTTCATAAAAAAATTAAGATTTACAAATATAGGTACGTATCGTAATGTCAAAAAATCAAAATCGATCAAAAGTACTAGTGATACTTTTCTACACGCACATTTCACATTCTCTCCATGATATTCAGTCTTAATAAATTTTCAGTGTTTATTACTTTTGTATGGAATTTTAAAAATATTGCCGGTTAAATCGAAGACAACGCAGCATTATACAAGAAGTAGACCTTTACTTATGTGCCACCGACTACACCATTCGAACTTTTCGAAACTACTAACTATACACTCGATTTTGCAGCCCGCAAGTTTACTCACTTTGGCATTGACTCAACGGATAAGTGTAATGTATCGATCCATTAATAACTTTATTGAGGTATGTGAATATCATTTCAAATTTATTAAGACGCATATTCTCGTTGATTGGACCTATCCTATCGTTTATATTAGCTCACACTGTAAAATTTAAACGAATTGTATTTTTCGAGTCTGTTATTCTAAAATTATCGAGCATAGTGTATAGTGAAGGTATGTATTAGTGATAAAATCAAAAAAATCAAGACGGAAGCAGAGTACTATTACATCGAACAGATGTGATGAAGATACACAATTAGAGTGGTACATTTTTGATTATATTGCTCAAAAATGTAGTTGTATATTCACCCAAAATTTTAAATCAATTTGCAGAGTACAGCACGTATATAAAATAAATGGTCGAGAAAGCATCACCAAAAAATTAATTAAGAACATCAATTTCGTATTTTTGTCCCTTGTACTGGGCGTCATAGACAATGCCCTTTGTATGATTTAAAATTAAGACGCCTTTAGGACAGGGCCTACTTGGCTTATACGTTAATCCGCAACTTATTATTAGAAATGATTAATTACATAAGAATAAATGAAAACTATAGTCCATAATTAATTCAATATTTGATTAATTAAAAATAGGTACTTATAGGTATAAAACAAAAGAGAATATGGACAATTATAAGTAGATAGGTACCGCTATAATATAAATGAAAAAAAAATCATCTGAATCCATATTTTTTTATGATTTTCTTTTTCTTTTTTTTCTTCAACGTTTTGAGTTTGATTGTGAAAATATTTATATTTTTAACATTAAACATATGAATATTCAACAAAATTATTTAACTTTTTAAAACTTTACACGACTACATACAAATATAACTCTATAAATAATTTCTTTAGGTTTTGTGTAATGAAAATGTAGGTATTATATTTCTATAGTATAGTGTCATAAATATTGTTGCTTACGTTTACTGAACGCTTCTACATTACGTTTGACATTTTAATTAATATTTTTAGCCTCTTACGATGTTTAGCACACCTCTTAGATCATACTTACGAAGATAATATGTATTGATTGTATTATATTATATTTAATTTAGATGAAATTATTTCAAAACAATTTGAAACAATTTTAAGTAATATTTTTTGCTTTTGCTTATTATCATTGGAACTAGAGAAGTAGTTAGCTCTGCTTTAAGCTTTATCTGTGTAAATATGACAGTACGTTTATATTAAGTTTACCAGATGATATAACCCATAGGTTAAAAAAAAAAAAGGATCTCTCGAAAAACTATGAAACCTATATTGAGAACCTAAATCAGTGGCCTCTTTTAAACGGTGCTTATGTATGTCTTACAATAATGCTTAACAACACATCACAACATTTTTATGAAATTGCTTACAGTACAAATGATGGACAAACATAGGAAAAAAAAATAAAATAAATACTTGAATAAGAATTTTTTTTATCATTACATTTCATATATTTAACAAATAAATAATATTTATAGACACATAGTAATAGAAATATTGTTTAGTTTTAATCATATTATTTTCACTATTTGATATTTTAATAATTATTCAACTTCATAGTAGCACATAATATAATTTTTATTAACTGTACTGTATTCAGGAGTCTAGAAATTTTCCCACTTAATTTTCAAGATTTGACTGATAAAAATCCTTGCCCGGCTGCCGTCATATTGTCAAAGAATAAACTAAAATTTATTCATCATTCCATGAATGCTTGTTTTATGTTTAAAATATCCATGTCATATTTTTACTTTATTTGTCAGACAGTCGGAAGGACATATGAAATTTGAATTGATTACTGATCAATACGGCCGAAATGTAAGTTAATCATTTTTGGTATTCATTATTTTTTCACTTACTAGAAATATCTTTACTCCATCAATACCCGGGAACCTCCCAAAAAGGTTAAAACGTAAATGGTTTAGTGATTTGCTTGAACATATAAAACATATCATAAAAAAAATAATATATACATTTAAAAAATATTATTATATTAATTATTTTTTAAATATTAAAACATTCTTATATTATTGCTATTGATATTAATTGTTATTAAAATAACTGATAATTGATATGATTAAAACAATTATAATCGTAAGTACCTACTTACTTTGATTTTTTTTTTTTGTTATTTTACATTACACTGAACTCATTTTTATATAACATATTATTATTTAAACTTAATAACAGTAGTTATCGCTATTATATTAATTATTTATATTTATTTGTAATATAACTAATAAATATTGTAAAAATATACTGTTGTTTAAATCTTTACAACTTGTTATCATTGATTGTGGTATGTGGATCGATCCACATGCAAACAAACTTAATTTCAAAACTATTTATTATATAGTCTTTAAAAAGTGTTAACCACGATCATATACTAATGAGTATTTCATATTTATAGTATAATCACATAAGTGGTTATATTGTATTATTAAAAATTTACAAAACTCCTTATGATCATTATTGTAGCATATCAATATTAATTTATTTCAACGTCATCTTAAGGGAAACACAGCATGTAAATGAGAGCAAAATAATATCATAAAACGTAAACTGTAGTTTAAAATGAGCAATAGTTTATTGTGTACAACATAGGTAAATTTTATGTCATGGTAAAGTATACAAAAAACGCATTTATATAATTAAAAAAATTAAGTAATTCAAGTATATATATCACATTGACGAGTTATTTTTAGAAACTCGTCCAGGCCGCGTAAGGGCCAACATATAAAAATAGCTAGATATAGGCAGTTTGGAGTCGAAATTCGTTTTCAACTTAGGCTTTCAACTGTGATGCACCGGCTCGAATAGCTCAAAAAACAAGAGGAAAAAGTGACGGATAAAAAAAATACAAATAATATTACTATATTTTTTATAGACGATATACGATTATCACGCTTCGTGTTGTGATTTGTTTTTTTGACTAGAAACGCTCCGTGGGGAATCGTTTTTTACCTCCGTCTGTCTGGCTCATTCCCCCTTTTATCCGCTGTCACTTAGGATCGCGTTACGATTCAGTTGATGGCGTGCATGGGCAGCCGGTCATCTCCGTCACCGTCGTCGCGCTCGTATGCCAGATTTTGGCTACCCTTGAATATGTCCTTGACGCTAATTCCTGCGTTCGATTGCCGCTGCGTCTGGTTGAACGCGTTGCTTGCGCCTAACGTTTGCATCTGAGACTTACGCCTCTCCGCCTGCATGGACCGTCTTCTCACCTCAAGCGCCTGCCGAACTTCTTTACCCATCGTGAGTTTCCGGCCCAACACCGGTGTGCCACCTATAAACAAAAAATGAATGTACACAACCGTTACTGAGAGTCAAAAATCAAAATATTGTATGTACATATCTGTATATGCGCAATGTGAGTTAAATAGAAAGGAACCTAATTGGTAGTTTTAGAGTTAAAAATCGAGTTGATAATTAAACCTAGTTAAACAACTAGGTAATTTAAATACCATATAATTAATAATCAATGATTTTATGTCAACGTTTTAAATTTATTATGTTAATGAGTACCTACCTAACGGAATATGTATTTTCTAAACAAAACTATATTCATCAACGACGATCGTTATCCATTTAACATATTGTTGTGTATTACATAATAAATTTAATCAATACATTATTAGGTCATTAAAATTATAATATTTAAAAATATTTTTATAACTTAAAGTCTACCTATACGTAATATAAATACATATATTAATTCTATTTTATAGAAATCTAATAGCAGTTTAATGATAATAAAGTATGGGACTATCACGAAAGTTGAATCGCTGATTATAATTTGCCTACAATATTTCGATACTATGCAGGTATTTGTTAAATTAAAAATGCCTTGTAATAATATACTCGTATAAAAGGTATTATTGTACCTTGTGGTTCATCTTCATCCTCTCCCATTTTCATCTGCAAGAATCTTTTGCGGAAAGCTACATCCAGTGTGCCAATTGTTCGGGTCTTTTGTCGTTGTTTTTCTAGGTTGTAAATTGTTCGACGCCGGCCCACGGCATTATCACCACTGGATCCTGACTCATTATCGTAATCACCATTGATACCCCTCAAACGTTGGAGGTGCTTGACGATGACGACTGCTTGTTTGTCTAGTAGACCGTCGTGGGTCAAATCTTCAGTCTGAAATCAAAAATAACAATAGTTTTTAAATCCATAAAAAATTTATTAAAAAAAAAGTCACCATTTCCGTTTACCTTTTTGTTGCAACACAAGTTTAAATCCGTTGAGGCAAGTATGTGAGACAGAGTACCGAAGCGATGGAACAACATGGCGGTAAACTGAACTATAATGATAAATGCGAAGAAGAACACGAACACCAAACCAATGGGTTCTAAGTGCAAGTACTCTTTACTAATAATGATCTGTAATCGTATCGTTTTTTAATAAATCATGTAATACACAATAAAATATTTACAAAATTAATATAATTTTTACTTCAGACGTCTCTGCAATAGTTGTAATATTTGTCTTGACGCCTATTGGCCAGTCTAAATGAAGTTTATCTTTGTTCAATTGAAGCAAAAAAACGATGAGTACGAACAGAGCATTGATCATGAAAAATGAGAAAACAGATTTGTTTCTCAATTCGATCAAGTCTGCTGCAATTCGAGCCTTTTCATTTTTATCTTCATCGATCGGATATAAATATTTATCGATCAGATCCCGCCAAAACTGTTGCTCAGCTGTGGATAAAAACGCCACCGGACCCTTTCGCAGAGATTTGTCTTCAATCCAAAAAGGATTGATATCGTCGTTACGTTCTACTTTGGGTTCTGCAATAGAATAAAATTATGTTTCATTATTTCAAGTTGCAACTTTTATAAAACTAAGCTGAACAAAGTTAACCTAAAGATTCTTCGTCAGTCTCTGTATCCGAGTGTTCGTTTTGGGAAGTTTCTTCTTGGACCGGATCTAGAACAATTTGATGTGGAGCGCTACTTGTTGAAGCGTTTCTCTTACGGTTCACCGATGTTGGATCGATCACAACCCTATTATAAAGACACTCACATTAATAATATATATATTCTTAAATTGTCTGTTGTAGCACTCACTTTTCGATATGATCTATCCGTTTACCTAAACCTTCTAATGAATCGGCTATCCTAACTAACTGTTGACCTTCGTTTACGGGTTTCTGATAAGTGCAAAACATACATTTAAAAAGTCCAGCGAACGACAATTCAAACGAGCCCTCTTCATTGTCCTCATTAGGGTCCCAATTTTGCAAAAATCCAAGCATTGACTTTTGTTTATTTTTTTTTTCCGATTCTTCAGCGGCTTTTTTTTCTGCTTCCATTTCTTTTTTAGTTCTTTTTACTTGAACCTCTCTCGTACCCCATGTTACAATGTTGAGATTGATAATGGAGTATAATATTAAAAGCAAATACATAGATGGAATGGATAGCCAATATATACCAAAATATATAATACAAGAAAACTCTTGCGGATGGAGAAGTGCTGCTATTATAAACGAACTCATCATGGCAATTAAAAATATTGCAGATGGCGATCCGATACCGTCCTCGCCCAGCTGTAGAGCCGTACCGACAATAACGGCCATCATTACTAATGCGTACAGAGCTGATAAAATTTGTGCCAATAATAACTGTGGACAAAAATCAAAAACAAAAAATTATTAAAATGCATACGAGCATATTTTCTAGAAATTAATACTGATATTTAATTGTGTGTTGGTGTCATAAAAATACTTATTAAAAACTACTTTACTAATTTACCTGTATATTTGATTTACATGTGAAGCATACAAAAACAAACAATACTATCGGTATAATATTGTAATAGAAACTAGTCCAATTGTCAATATGAAATACAGCCACAAAGGCTCCCACCAACATGAGGAATATAGTTCCTGGCCCTAAAATGGTACCTCCCATCAACATGATCTGAAAGTATGTCGAATTAGTAAGAAAATCGCTCATTAGATATATTATATTAATTTCAACGGAAATATCTACATGATAGCTGATGTAAGGCATTGAAATGTTATCGTTTATTTTAATTGTTTTTTTGTAATCCATAAGCAAGTCCATGATGTTCGCCATTGTCGACGGCACCCATCTTCTTCGCTGATTATAAAACTCATTGAAGCTTTCTGGGCAATGAGTATACGCGTCACTAGCAGCTGAATATTCTACTCGATATCCTCTTTGTAATAACAATGTACACAGCCATCTGTCTTCGCCTTAATATTAAAGGTAATTTAATTATAAGTTATTTTAATTTTAGTTCTGATAAAAGTTTTTTACCTTGATCATATTGTACGTAATGTCTAGCTTCATCAGATTTTAACGTATATCTTTTCATTACGTTATCGTCCATAAGAGCTTTGCCTCTAAACAGTGAGAAACATCCTGGACTACAAAGAACGCAACCGATCATGTGCTCAGTAGCCTTTTGGAGCCAATGACCAATCGCATATTCAAAAACTTGATACCACGCCAATGGACCTAAATAATAAATAAATACAATATTATTGACTCGGATTCATAATAAATTTAATGTTCAAGGATTACCTCCTCCAATTGGATGGATTCTCCCACAAGCAGCTCCCAAATTTTTATTCTTTTTCATTAAATCTATCAATAACCTGACCGCATGTGGTTGAAAATCGATATCACCATCGAGTGTCAATAAAAACGTGTTTTCAGCAATGACTTCTTTCCGTTCAACGGAAATCGGCAGTTCCATTAATCGATGGCCAAGTAAGTAGTACATGTACATAACCTGACTCCAACGTTTTCTGTGTCGGATTTTGGATTTGTCTTTGATGTGTACGGTGAGTTTAGTTTTTCCAGGTAATGTCCATACTAAACGGCCACCATATGGAGCTGGATACTTAGTTGGTGGTTTGATACGTATATTTGTTTCGTGTACGTGAGTTGCTGCTTCATCAATTGTACTCACTAAAAGCTTTACGAATCTATTCACCTGACTCCAATCATCGTTTTCATCACTGATTTCGAATCCATCATCCATGAATATGTGAGCTGAATAAATTATGTTTTGGAATTAGATGAATTTACATAATATGCAGAAATTTTGACTTACTTTCAAATTCATAATAGTCTGGATCCACTACTCGCAAATATTTCTGAGCCACTCGACGGGCACACTGATCTTCATCCATTCGGAGGATTGACTTTAACATCTCCATCATTTCTTCGTGCGTTTCGTGCCACATAGTTGCACAAGCGTAAATCCTAGTAATGCTGTCAGATTTTTTCACAGTCTTAGGGGCTGTACTGCTTACATCCGTATGCACAGATATTGTTTCATAATATTCGTCTGGTTCTTTATCTCGATCAGCCAAGTCCTTAATGATTACAAAATATTAAATTAACCACTTTTAACTAAAATTAATTTTAAAAAATTCTTACTTCAGTTTTTACGTCTTTTTCGTCGTTTAATTTCCTGTTCATTCCTAACGATTGATCTATCAATAAAGAATCGTACATTGGTCTAGCGAAAAGCTTTTCAGTGGTCGCTAGACGTTCACACTTGGGTGTCCAAATATGTAACGTTACCCAAGTTTGGGATAGAAGCCACAATAGCCATACCCATACGTGCTAAAAATCATTACAATAATATGTGTCACACAGTATCGTTAATATTGATTTAAGTAACTTACTTCCTTAGTGATAAAATTATTTAAGAAATTGACATCGGGTGAATCGAAAAATAAATAATCTGGAATAGAGTTATGGAAAAAACAAGGATCATCGTGACGTAAACCACACGCGATGATCAATACAGACATGGTGACTGGTACTGTTAGATTTACTGGAAATGCATAACTGAATCCTTGAATCATAATTTTGCAAGCAAATTTTCCTGTAAGAGATATAAAAACGTCATTTATTAATGTATAGTTAATTGTAAAATGTATAATAATTATTATACATTAAAAGTAATGAAGTAAAATATTTTTAAATTGAAGTAGTTCAACATACTACACAATATAATATGTACATCTTTAAACAGGTGAGAAAATTTTTAGTCACTACTCACTAGTAATTTTACTAATATTAGCTATATTTACCGAATATATAACAAAGATATGCTGAAATAATTTGTAAAAGAAGTACGTGTAGGGCAGTTACATATTCTGCATCAATTTCAACTGAATCTCCGGTTGTAACTATATCAGCAAGGTCTGGTAAAATTGTTCCACTTCGTGTTACTTGATTTACCTGAATAATGCATTAACAAAATAATAATTTTAACATAAATTACAAATATGTTTATTATTATTTATTACCTCAAGAACTTGTATCTTGTGTTGTGAAAATCCAGCGTTGACTAATGAAAAAATTTGAGTAACATTTTCACCCTTAAAGAACATAACTACTAACATGAAACAAAAGAAACATAACATTTTCCAGACAGACATAAGCATATATATGAAATAACGTGTTCTTCTCATTCGGTCTTTTATATGATAAGCAAACTTCATAAATCCTAAAAATTCAAAAATAAATATTCTCTAATGTTCTCTTCAAAATATTTTATAGACATAATTTCAAGTATAGCCTACCGAATAATGTATTTTTGGTTGTATAATTTTCCCAGTAACCACAAGAAATACAAAATACTGAAATTGGGATTGCAAGGTTATTCATCTGCTTTTCCGGGTGTAACAAAGGCCATAAAAAGAAACCAGTGGCTTGTGATCCTACAGCAATTACATCCATTAAGACTTTGGCGTATACTTCAGACTTTTCCGAGTTCGTTTTACAACCCTTTGTTGTTCTTGATAATAAATCTATAAAATTTAACTTTTTATTGATTTCTCTATAAATTAATTTAAAAAATAGTAAACTTACTGAGTAAAGCTGGTACGAAACAAAGACAATTGGTAAGCATAGCACCTTTGACGACGTCTAAATTTGGAAGTACGACATACACAAACAAAACTAAGCCAAAAACGTGAAGTGTTTCCATAATAAGCACAAAAACAAAATCGAATAAAGGAGGTCTTTTACACGACTTAAAGAAACAAATTCTCAATGATCGTATTAAAGTTCCAATTTCTGGAACGATAAATGCTAATAGCAAACACCATATCCACGCTACACGTTCTTCCGTTGGAAGGTTGACAACGTAAAATTTATCACGACCTACGAAAAAAGAGATGATGATTTTATTAAATACTTAATTATAAACCGCAAGTGCCATTCAGTAAATAATCAATTTTATTAATTACTTAAGTCCTTATTGCAGAATGTGACAACACGATCGGCCCTGATTTGAGATGTCATGAAGAACATACTAATTTTGGAAATAACGCCACAACATAGAACGACGATGAATGTAGTCAAATATGCTAGAATTTTCAACACACGTATAGTAAATTCGAGACATGCTTGATTAGCCATAGATCCACTGTCACTACGTGGAGGCAGATCTCGAAAAACGTCCCATGCTTTAGTATCTGCCAAAGTCCTTTGACTAAAATATATTCATTAAATCATAAAATTAATTTATTTTTAATCGTATTGCATTACATAATATTACATTTATATTATTATATATTTGAAAAAAATAATAAATACCTTCCACCATATAAGTCTTGGGTTAAGGGTGAATTTTCGTCATCGTCTGAAGAATTTTCGTCACTGTCGTGAAGTCTTTGGTGAGACATGTTATTCACAGATGGAACGAACGACAAACGTTGAAGAGACGTCATTGCGCTGAAAACAATTTAAAGCTACGCTTAAAAAATGAAACAAATAATATTACAAAAAGAATGTTTACTATAAACGTACTTTCTAATTTTATAAGGTACCTAGTATAAAGTATAGTGAAACTCATTCAAATACAGGACTTAAATTATAATAATACATATAGTTTTTACATTTTCGAGTATTAAACGTTAAAGAATTTTAATGTTTAATGTTATTTTAATTTTTCATCTCAAGTTTGACGTTGGAAATAAAACAAAAATTGTAAACATCAACGCAATTTATGAAATTATACATAAACATTAGAATTAGTTGATCACAGAAGTATAATTATAAGTATATTTAATATTAAATAAAAAAGGACAACGATAAAATGTTTCTGAAAAAATCATTTGTAATTGGTCAATTTTAAATTGATTTATGATGTGAAAATAAAAATAATAAAATTTTTATTTTTATTGCAATGATAATTTGATATGTTTTAGGCATAATGTAAAAATCTTAAACATTATTTTTAATTACGCTATTTGTAATTATTCTGAGAGGCGCAATGAATGTATTGATTTTATAATGTTATGTGTTTTTATTTTTGTGGATACGTATACAATAAATATTCGATAATATGCTTCAACATTCAACTTTCAGGGTGATTTTGGATAGTTGATTAAATCTAGTTTATACTTTAAAGAGATAATAATTAAAAATTCCCAGTACTTTTTTTTTATAATGAGAAAAAATGGATATCCACCTAAATAATAATTATTTCTTTTCAAACGATTTTTGTTTTTTTTATACTTCAAAAACAAATAACTGTAAATACTTGAAATTTTGACCAAATATTTATATTATCATTTTCATTATATGATACCATTTTCAATTTTTTTTAATAGATGGCTATTTATTGAAATGACAACATTTCAATTGTTTTTTTTTTCAATTTTTCAATAAATGTCGATAAAAAATATTCACCTATTCAAAATCCTTAATAATTTATTATAAGATCACACATAAATTATTCTTATATCTGTTTAAAAATATTAAAAATACAAAGACATATTTATTTTTTTATGCATTTGAAATTAGAATTTTGAAAAAATGGGAACTTAAGACTTTTATGTAGGTACTATTGTAATTATATTATTATAATCAATAATATCTATTTATAGTATTTATACTATGAACCTATTTTTACTGGTTTGCCGTATTTACAGAAATATTTTACTAAATTTTGAGTTATGTAAGTTGATTAAATATAATACAAATACCAGCATTATAAAAATTAAATAATAACAATATAATAAATGCAACATTTTTGGAAAAAATATATAAAACAATTTAATACTAAAATATAAATAAATGACTTTAATAACTTTATATACCTAAAGAGAAAAATTATGAAAATTAAAAATGAAGTATACTTGGTGATATAAAATATTGACAAACCGTTTTTGCTCAGGATAATTTTTTGTTTACAATGATACACCATCGAATTCAAATTTAACACACCCATAAACATAATAGTGATCCATTCGACTCCTAACGTATAAAAAAGCGGTACCCCTTGTCAATGATTTTTAATATATATATTATACTTTTACTGTTTATCATTAATTTTAATTATATTTATTGATAAACTTAGTTTAATTCTATTCAATTTTTTTTTCTTTATTTGTTTATTGATTTAATTACATTTTTTCATTATAACATAATAAAAAAAACGTTTTAGAAACTTTATTCAAAATCACTTTTTAATTGGTTAAATTATGAATTATTTATAAAATACATGTTTTTATATCACAAATAAATTTATGAGCAAAATGCCAAAATATTAATAATTAATAAATGTTTAATCATAAAGCCTATAATCTGAGTTTTTACACTTTTAAGTTTATTTTTAAATTAACAATTTTTATTACTATTATTTAAACTTGATTATATTATAATTATTGAAAAGACTTAATTATTATTTCGGAACACAGGTATTAAAAATGTATAATAGGAAGGAACTATAGATATTATTACACTTTTTTCGGTTTTGTTCGGGAAGACGTCATAAATAACGAACTAATATGCTTTATACATGACACCATAAATATACATAAATGTATATATTATGTGGTTTACTTTAAATTAATTATGCGGTTTAAATAATAAAATGGATACAACTTTTTAATAAAAATAAATTATTTAAAAATACAATATAAAATTTATTGAAAAAAAAATCACGATAAATAACAAGAAGCTCAGAGAAATGCGTAAATATGTTTTATCTTATAGTTGGTATGTGTTAATTTAAATAAATATTAAATTTTTTCCATATTTTTTGTATGATTTTTTTATTTGTCGTATAAGTATAATCCGCCTCAACAATTATCGATGTTCACGAATCATGACTAATAGTTTAATGGATCAGATATTTAATTAATTTCATTATTATTATTGTTTCTCCAAATTATAAAGATTAACTTGACGTTTTTTTTTTTTTTTTACAACTAACAATGAAAATAAATGCATGTAGGCATATAAGTTTCCATTTAATAAACAGATACACGTGTGACGCGGAGTTAAAATATATTTTAATTGCCTTCAATATTTTATTTCATTGATTTATCCGACACGATATTGAACTTGCTATTTTAATTCAAATTCGGCGTGTTTAAAGTACCTAATAAGTTTACAACTGATGTGTTTTGTGAACTGTGTTTTATCTGTTTCAAGGATAGGTACCTAAATAAAGAGAAATTAGTAGTGCATAATATGTATCAGAATATCAGACATTAGTCATTTGTAAAAATAAGTGAGTACCTACAAATATGATCTGATCACGACCTATCGACCTTTACTAAAAGAATGTTATAACTGTGGTTATTTTTCATAAACTATAGTTGTAGTTTTATACAGGTATTGAGGTATATGTTTGTTTTATATATAACTCACTTTATTACTACTGCCTACAAAAATACCTTAAAAATATATGTTGCGTCACTGCTACAGAATAATATCGTGAGGATAGAATGATGCAATAAATATATATTATAATAAGGTGCCCAGTTATTTGGCACTAACCTTCGGTAGACTAAATTAAAAATACATTATTTCACTAATTTCTTTTTAGTATCCAAAGCTTATAAGCTATCAATAATATTATTGCGTTAGACGTTAGTATAAGAAACATTTATACTTTGTTTTATTACACTGTGATAAAAATTAACAACTAATAAGTATTAATTAACGAATAAAAAATAATTAGTATTTTAAATATATTTAAAAAAAAAACAATTTATCATCTTGGTAAATGGTAATATAATTTTATGATTTAATTGATTTAATAGAAATAATATAATATATTTATTTTAACGTGTTGCCCGATTTTAATTAGTTCTTACGGATTATCCTTTTATATTTTTATACAAATAATAAACATTATTTTAATACGTATAACTTTTATATTAAGTATTTTGTTAATATAATATTTTATATTACATAAATTGTTTTCATGCTAAATTTTTTTTCTTGTATCTATTTATAGATTATTTTAAATTATTAGTAGACAAAGCATTTAAAGTTAAATCTTTAGCAAAATTTATTTTAATTGTTTTATACATAGTAACATGGGTATTTTATCATTTTTTAAATTTAAAGATTTGTTTATTGCACTTAATCAAAATTTAAAACGTTACAATTATAATCGATTTTCTAATATAAAAAACACTTTTTATTTTCTTAAACCGGTTTTAAACTGTACATTATGAAGAAAAATGTATGCCAGTGGTCCAATTTAATCGGTACAATAAACAAAGAATAATTCGTTTACAGTGCATGATGATGTTCTAAGTATAATCGACGCGACCGAGGTTTACATTCTACATTGTATGATGACGATTCTTAACTATATTGAAGTCGTCGAAACAATTATGAGAACGGTCAATGTCAGGACTTGTGTTATAGGAATACCACCGCGTTTGTTTCCATATACATCTCGACATGTATTTAATTTTCCATTAACGAAAACGCAAAACGTTTTGATAATTATTTGATTTGTGTGGAGCAGTGACCTGAAGACGCATGCTAGAGAGGGGGCGCCGAGTACGGAGTACGGCCCTGGGTGAGAATAGAATTGAAACAAAATCAACGATTTACGAATCACAATATATAATGGCAATAGCGCACAGACAATGCGAGTGATGGACACAAATGAAATTAATTAAAAACTAAATAAAAATCGTCACGCTGGAATACAAAAAATACCGCGATACATTTAGGTAGATAATTATTATTTTTTATATCGCCTACATAGTCTGATTCTTATATAATACTTCTTAAATTATAATATGTAAAATTAATATTAAAAAAATAGTATTCTATTTCTTATTATCTGTTAATAATTAATATAGGTATTAATTTTCTCTAAATTTTAAATTCCATGGACACATTTACAAGTGTTTTTGCTACATATAGATATTGTATGCGCCAAAACGACATTCTCGTATTATTATTATATTTTTTTAGAAAACCTATAAATTATGATTTTGCTAAACCCTATACTAAAATTTCATTAATTTTTAAGTTTTTATCAATAATATATAGATATATACAACTGATGCCAAAGTGATATTTTATCATCGATTACAAACTATTCGTTTGAGCTCTACTATCAGAATAGTATTGTTCCCAAATCTGCGTTCTATTCTAAAATTAATAAAAATTATTTTGAAAACTTTTTAGAACATTTTAAGCTTTAGGACAATGTTGATACAAAATTCTAGCTATACCTACAATACCTATAATTGCTACGGTAAACTTCTTATGCATCAATAACGTCCAAATAATTAAAATTCTCATTAATTTCGTACTTGAAAATATTGATATTCAAAATTTAACTTTATAATGGGCTTAGCGTTGTACGATAATTTATTAGTTACTTTAGCATTTTCTATATTTTCTTAATTTTCTACGTGTGTGATATTTCAGGAACAATATTATTATAGCATTCGTGATGTGGACT